AGAATCAAACAAGTATGAGAGCACTCACAGCATAATAACGTAACACTATTAGAGACTGGATATATCCATATATATTAATGCAGAATTACCCAAATTAATGTTATACATCTGATAACATTTCATTATTCTTATTTATAGTAATGTTTTAAACAAGTTTTTCTTTAGTCTTCTTTATTTGGTATTTTCTCATACCCACTTTTACATTGAAAATATATTTGTCAATATCTGTTGACTGCTTGCTTTACATGGGGTTAGCATATGTATTAGATGTTATGCATTGAAAACATATATAAAACAAAATGTAATAAAAATATCCACACTGAAAATGACCAAAGTAAAAAACGAAATTATCCAAATAACACCAAACATGGGTCGGAATGTATTTAATTTGATAAGGAAGATCCAATTTAACATAGTTCCAATACAGAGAATTAATTGATTGGCTGCAGAGTTTATAGTTTTTTTAAAATTATCCCTATTGTGAGACTTTTATAATCCTAGAAAGGCCAACAAATACAGTCCAATAATAAACATTATTTTAATGCATAAACTAGTATCAGTCGTCATTGTTTAGAATTTTATAAAGCAGGAAAGCTGCGTTATCCGCCTCATGCAACACACCTATTTTCCGGATTAAAATAATGGTTGACTGTAGAGAAGTACAGGTAGCCACTTGCTTCCAATTTGATTTCAGGATGACATTATAACTGTACATGTATTCCCCTCTATCCAGTGAAGACTTGTCTAATGTTGCATGGAAGAAGGAAAAGTCACGTCATGATTTCAGGTTTTCTCCCTCAAGGTTTATTACTATCACAACAAGTACAATACAGAAAAGAACATTCCAGGTAGATATGGCAGATAAATACTGTAAAGGTATTAAAATACTTGCATTCACATTTTATTTTGAGTGCTCAAGTTAAACACTTGAAGCAGGTAAAGCTAAGGTGAATTAAGGCCACTGTGGTTAGATATGGTGCAATCTAATTCCTAGTTTAAGGGTTAAAGTTCTTCAAATAGAGAGTTTTAAAGGTGGAAATGTGTTGGTTTTTCAACGTCGTGAATCCGCATCTGGTGATTAAAACAACCTTTTACTGTAGCTAAGTTGTTGTGGCTTTATATTTTTGGAAATCCAGTTCCTTAATTGGTACATAGAAATGAATTTTTATTTCACCTCACAAATTTTTTCTGTCAGATGTGACAGAAAAACTTAATTTTGTCTGAAAAAAATGTTTCACATACTTTTAATCTCATAGGAGCTACAGGAAACAAAACACACACAATATTTACATTATGACAAAATGATCATGACTTTCTGAACCTTCACATGTTTTGGTCATGGTCTTTAAATGCACTAGTGTTGGGACAGTCTTAAATGTGACAGTTTTAAAACTTTAGTATACAAACACATGTTAGTTAAAGCCCTTCATTTTCTGTGCATGCATTTAAAAACTGCTGCATACATCACCACAGTTGAGACACTTCAGATCATAGGCAGAATAAGAATATTATAAGTTACAAAAACAATAATACTGATAATAATGCTACATTTTCTTATCGCCTATTCGTAGTTTCATATCAAAAAATGCTTCCGTAGTATAAAATTGTTTAAGATACAGGAACTTGGCACACTTTTCATATAACTAGAGGCTCTTAGTTCATATTTTATAAGGAAATAGTGATAGTAGAGGAAGATATTAAGCCTCTCAATTCTCGAGAACGACAATATCAGCCACTCCATGCACTTGTGTGAGCTGTTTACAGTCGAGACATGCCACCAGCTTCCTGGGTCCGGGCTGGGTTGGGACGAAGTGCTCGGTCAGTGTCACTGTGGAGTGGCCGCCTACATCACTGAGAGGGAGGGG